CATCGATTTGCAATCATCACTTGTCTAGCTATATTTGCTCGCACGTTGTGCAAGATAGATATATCCAAGTTTAAGTAGTTTCGCAACATTCTGAGAGAACAAACTGCAGCGAAATGTTGACTCCACGCTTTGGAATCACGCAGACAGACGAGGTAGTGACGATAATTATCCATGCGCCATATGCAAATATAAAGGATGCAGAAATGTACGCTGACGGAATAGACTTCCTATTTTACTCCACCCCGTATTTTCTCAAGTGAGTATTTGCGAATCTGTTAGATGGATTCGTCTTCCTGACGAATATATAAATATATTTATCCTTAATACACGATAATTTTCCAATCCTATATGATAGGTCATTCGTGTTCTAAGTCTTGAATTAATTTACATTATTTAACAGATATATAAAAATTATTAAGTGTTTCTTACATATACTTTCTAAAATTTTTAGAAAATATTTGTAAGATTGTATTAAAAAAAATTATATATAAATATTATGTAATATTTGTGTATAAATGTTTTTAATTGATTATTATTTCATGCTTCTACTTTTTCGAAAAAAAGAATGTACCAGAGTGGTCCAATGGATGTATACTAAGAGTTAAATTAAATGGTTTTTACAGATTACAGCTTCCAGGTAAGATAAAAGATAACGATTCATTCGCTGGGACTTACGACTGCGACAAGGGTGATTTTACCTTAAGTTTCTCCAAGGTAAATAAGGGGGAACATTTTGAGAATTTGGAAATGATAACAAGCCTTCTGGCACCAAAAAAGAAAAGCACTATCATACCTAACATTGAAGTCATCGGTAAGTTATAAGGAATATAATTTAAGTGTTATATACATATACAATTATATATTGCATAGCATTATTATATATATTGCACAGCATATAATGTCTCTTCCAATTTTAGGTAATCCATCTGTGACTTTAGCAGATATGAGTGAAAACAGTGTAGATAATTCTGGAAATAATTGTTTTTCATCTCAGGATAATTTTGTAGGAAGTGGGACAAATCTTATAAATTCTCCAAAATATGGTTTTGCTAATAAAATATCAGGAGCTTTAGCTGCTTTTGAGGTACGTTTTTATAATCCATTTTAACATTTTTAAATTTTACTGTAGTGTAATTACAATTAATTTTACAAACAGTCTTCCATACTTAGTTTTGATAGTTGAATTAATCAGTAATATTGGTTATCCAGAAAGTTCGTGCCGATGTTGAAGGAAAATTGAAACGCAGAAAATTTAAATTTTAGTATACATTTATTAAATTATATAGGTTAGTCGGTACGAATTTTCCGGACAACCCAATATTATGTGTTTGTTCCTTCTAGGATGTATGGATTAAAGAAATAATAGATCTTCCTACTCCTGATGTAACTCCTGAAGTAGAAAGAAAAAGTTTGCGGGAACAATGTGAATTAAATGATTTCTCCGAGGAACATTATATGGCAGATCTCATGGAATCAGATGTCATTAAGCCATGCTTAATATATCAAGCAGAATGGGACACATTACAAAAAGATCAAATAGCATTTAACAAAGCTGAAATCGACCTGTTAAAGGAACTTCCAAATAAAGAATATTTATTAAATGTTGAAGATGTTGAAAAATTATGTTTTAATCTTGTCGATATCTTGTATGCCAATTGTTATAATCATCGAACAACATTTGGAGAAAATAATTCAGAGAGTGGCTGGACTATTAATAAACTAAGTTCTACGTTATGTTGGTTCCAAGTACGTTTATGAATTAGCTAGCGAAGCGTTTTCTACCAGGAGAGTGCAAACGAATTATTTCTATCAAATATTTTCAGAATTTTACTTCTCTAGATGAAGTTATAACAGCGTGTATTCGAAGAGCGCTTTGTTATCCACTTCACAGAAATTGGGAACTTTCTATTAAATTATTAGAAGATGTTAAAAAGGTTCTGTCATTAGGTCAGTATAAATTGGGATGTCAAAATATTTATATATTTGCCATTTATTATTTCAAATGATTTCATGCATAGGAAGGAAATATGTCATTAAACGCTTCTGCGAAATACACAGTCTTTTCAATAATTCATTTGAACCAAGATACATACTGAATCAACTCTATATAAAGGATTTTCTAATTTGGTTACAAACGTTATCTGATTCCGTAATAGAATCGCTTTATTCTGCATTAAGTAATGTAAGTACTCTTCAAAATTCTTTAAACATTCACATATTTAACGCTTCTCTTATCTATCTAAATATAGATTTCTAGAATGAATTGCCTCATTGACCTAATATTCCTTATTTACAATCTTCATTTTTCAAAATTAATTTTTTATAAATACGACACATATAAGATGAAATTAAATTAAAATTTGAGATTTACCGATTATATATCGATCGACTTATACGGCCGCAATGCTTACTTATATCAATTTACTATTTTATACAGGTTCATCCAAACAAAGAAAATATGGGACTAGAATTAGTGGAACTGGAAATGGCAGCTTATTCTGTCCAAGAAGATTTTGTTATAGAAAACGCCATTCACAAAATGACCAACAATATTGAAGCATTGTCTATGAACGGTGACAAACAGAAAATGTGAGTAGAAAACTGTTTTATTATTTTCTTCTATAGTAATATTCTACATATTCTGTGTAATTTTATTTTGAAGGCCAAAGAATGTATACCATGTTAACCAAAAATTTTTTAAGTGTTTGTAAGTATTTTCATATTCTAGCTTGATTGTTAACAGTCGCTGTTTAACACACCTGTATTTAATGAGCATTTATATATTATTGTTTTTATATATTTTAACTTATTTGGTTTAATGTAACATCATAACGCCTAATTTCTTTTATCATATATTGTATAAAAAAGAATTACTTCGTGTACATATATAATATTCTGTATAACTACTGTTTGGATTTTTGAAAACAAACTTTCATTATATCAAAATTTAATTTAAATTAAAAATATTGCAACTAAAAATTTACCAAAGCTCTCGTATTAAGTAATTGGCCAAAAATTTTTAGATCCAAATAGTATTTGATCCTGAATACTCGAGTTCTCAGATATCCGAATAATAAGAATCCTAGCAATGAGAGTTTTAGTAATCTAATAATGTGCATGATTGAAGAATTTTTTATAATACTTGCTGATTATTCCAAACTCCTTTGGAGTCTAAAGCATTTTCTACTTCTTAATCATTGTATACAAATGCAGATTATCGAGCAGTTCAAGTTCAACGGATAGCAGCGACACGGACTCTGATAGCAACACGTCAAGTAGTAGTAGCAGCAGCAGCAGTTTCGATTCTGATGATATAGATGATGGGCCTAAATAATTAAGAAGAAACGGGTGGACTTGCAGAAGGGTGATTTTATTGTCGATTCTATTATTGATTGGTATACTACTGTACTTTGATGTGCCGATTACAAATATGATCATGAAAATTACTGACAAAGTTATTTTGACGCTCATTTGCCGCGCAATCTGGCTAAGCGCTCCCGTGTTTTGGGGCGCACGTTTTCCACGCATAATGACTCCCTCCCCATCTTCCCTTCTGCTTAGGGGCGCACGACTTCCACGCGAACCGACTTCCACCCCACCTCTTCCCTTGCTTAGGAGCGCACAACTTTCACGCAAAGTGACTCCCACCCAACCTTCTTCTCTGCTTAGGAGCGCACGACTTCCACGCGAAGCGACTCCCACTTCATCTACCCCCCTGCTTAGGGGCAAACGACTTTCAAGCGAAGCTACTCCTACCCCACCTTCCTCTTTGCTTAAAGGCGCACGACTTTCACGCGAAGCGACTCCCACCCCGTCTACCCCTCTGCTTAGGAGCGCACGACTTCCACGCGAAGCGACTCCCACCCCATCTATCCCTCTGCTTAAGAGCACACGACTTCCATGCGAAGCTACTTCTACCCTATCTTCGTCCCTGCTTAGGGGCGCACGACTTCCACGCGAAACTGCTCCCACCTCACCTTCCTCCCTGCTTAAGAATATACGACTTCCATGCGAAGCTACTCCTACTCCACCTCCCCCTCTGCTTAGAGGCGCACGACTTCCATGCAAAGCTACTCCTACCTCACCTCCCCCCCTACTTAGAGGCGCAAGACTTCCATGCGAAGCGACTTCCACCCCACCTGTTCCCCCTGTCAAGAGACGCACTTCCCATGCGAAACGCGCGAAAAAAAGTGAAAAAAATCGTCTTTTAAATATTTGAAAATGACCTTGTCGGCAGTTTTTGTTATCACATTCGTAATCAGGGTATCAAAATACAGTAATATTATCAATCGATAAGAAAATCAGAAGGTTCACCTTTTCGGAAGTCTATCCGAAAAAAACTGATAGTTTTAATGAATAATCATTTACTTGTTACATGACGTGCA